AAGCATTCCACAATGAAATGGAAATGGTTTATGCTGGGTCTTATTACCAGAGGAATGCAAGGAGGAGACTCTCACAAGCAGGGAGCTTCTTTTCCCCAGGACTGATTTGGAACTGGGTGAGAAGCTACTAGATTCTATGTCACTTGGATAATGCTCTAGAAACAACCTCTCAACTGTCCAACAAAGAACTGTTAGGTTTATGGATGGCAGTGCCAAGGTGAATGGATTACATCCTGTTTGGAAGGCACCACTCTAATTGAAGAAGGTAAAAACAAATCAGCTCAGTGGGCTAACTTGCATGTTGTTTTTCTAGCAGTGATGGAAGAACTGAACAATGGTAAAAGCTCCTATGGGGGTTTTTACTGACTCATGGGCAGAAGCCAATGGGCTAGCCATATGGTCAGGTAGACAGGCAACGGAAATGAGAACCATTAAAGGTTTGCTCATGTCAGGTAGGCTCCATACAACTATCTTGACAGTCCCAAATAAGGTCTACCTTACCATTTTAAAGTATCATGAATAATTTTTAAAATAATATTAAGATTCTGTTTATCACAAAGGAAAGTTAACATTATAAAAACATTGGCCAAAGCTGGTCAAATTCTACTGCTTTTAGGATCCAAGTCATGGGAACCCACTTTCTGCCATCAAAATATCAGGTTTGGTTTCATGATTTGTAAACTCCAGGAGCAATAAACTATGATGTCCACTTGAGCATGACTAGCAATTTGTGAATAGAAGACACCCAACTTCAAGGAGCTTCCATTTTCTGATAAGGTTAATTCACACACAACTTACAAGAGGAAGGAAAAGAACAGAAGAGGGAGGGCAGAGGAGCACTGCAAAGGCACACAGTCATGCAGTGTTGTGTGGGCAGTGGGTAACTGCTTATTTCCATTGTGAAGAGCCAAAGGAGGCCCAAAAATATTCCTGAGACTTTAATTATTGGTATCAAAAGTTAGACAGTGGTGTTTAAATTCCCTTGTCTTTTATTCCTCCACTGTTCCTTTGAAAAGAGAGTCATACTCTGATCTTCCCATTGTCCTCCTTCAGGTTATTTCCAGGCTGTAGATTAAAGTGCTCTTTTCTGATCTGGGGTTCTAGAAAAGCCTTTACCTCCTGGGTGTATTTTCTACCTAAAATTTCTAGCTAGTTATCACTGCAAAGTGACTGTGATGTACACACTCTCTAAATAATAGACTGAATCTGTTTAAATGGGCTGTGGACTAGAATTTCAAATCAGTCTAGAAGGATATTTTCATCACTGAAATCCATCTACTTTGATTCACTTTGGGTTTTCATGGTAATTGTTCAGCACTTGCAATGTTTTTAAATTTATAGCATAGCTTTATCAGTGAATAAGAAATGAAGTATCTGATGTTATTAAAACCCACTAACACTGAGTCAGGAGGAATGAAGGCGAGCACCAGAGCATAAATCAACATAATGACTCATTTCATTCATTTAAATGTCTGTCTCTAATGGGAGAGACATTGTCAATGTTAAAATCTGCATTTACATAGAGCTTTCATTTTATATTCTACAATCATTTAGCATGATACCTTTACAACAGACCTACTGTGCAAGTTAAGAATTTAAAAATAAATACTGAGACAGATAAAGAAAGGTCAAGTGCGGTGTCCAACATAGTTGACATGGTGGTTAAGTACTCTGGAAAAAGACTGATCCAAGACTAATTCTTAGTGGTACTTACTAGCTGTATGATCTTGGGCAGATTACTTAGCTTCCCTGAGCCTCAATTTCCTCCTTAATAAAACATGTATAGCATATAACAGTACTAACTCATTGCTGAGAGGATTAAATGTAGGGAAAAAACCCAAAATGTATGATGCATTTTTGTAGTACAATTCCTGAAATAGAGTGATTTTAGTAAATGGTTATAAACTTACTGTATGGCACTTGTGTGTGTGTGTCTGTGTGTATGACACTTTAAATTTTCTTTTCTAAAAATCTAGTTCTTTAATCTCAGGATTCACACTGTTCTTGTCAGCACATGAGCAAGTTACCAAAAAAATACTCAGATGTCCATAAAATACTCATGTCCATAAATGCTTATTCTTCATTCGAAATTGAAATAAATCAGCAGTTATTAATCAACTAAAATTTCTCAACAAACAGAGCAAAAAAGATGAGAGCTCAGAACAGATCACGAGCAGACAAGCAGTGAGACATAAAGTGCTATTTAAAAGAGGAAGTGTGATAATGGAAGGTTTTTTTTTTTCTCTCTTCTAAAAAAAGCATGGCACACAATATAAAAAAACACTAGGTTCTCAACTGTGGAAAAAATATCTTGACTATTTAATTTTAAAAAGTTATAGGTTAAATGCAGTGTTTGTTGAACCTTCACAACTCAAGATAAGCATAATTTATAAAGAATTACATGAAACTAATAAAATGAATAGTAACTACAATGGCAACAGCTATAATTTAGCCAGTGCCAATTATACTTTTAAGCATTTTGTACAGGTCTTCTTATTTCACCTTCACAATGAATCAGTGGAGGGGGGACTCTGAAACTGTTATCCTTAGAGAGATGAGAAAACTGACTCTCAGGAAATTTATGTAACTTGCCCATGGTTACAGTTAGTAAGTGATAGAGCAAAGATTTGAAATCATGATTGCTATGACTTCAAAAACCAACATTCCAAGCCGGGTGAGGCAGTGCATGCCTGTAGTTCCGGCTACTTGGGAAGCTGAGACAGGAGGATCACTTAAGCCCAGAAGTTCAAGGCTATGATCACACCTGTAAGCAGCTACTGCACTCCAGCCTGGGCAACATAGCAAGACCACATTTCTAAAATCTAAAAAAACAAAAACAAAACCCCAATATTCTTTCTAACCCAAACTGTTTCTATAGGCAGAACAGTAGGAAATTGAACTAAATGGTCTTTAAGATCCCTTAAGTCTAGAATCTAAAATTCTTTTTTCTGGCCAGGTGCGGTGGCTCATGCCTGTAATCCTAGCACTCTGGGAGGCCCAGGCAGGCGGATCGTTTGAGCTCAGGAGTTCGAGACCAGCCTGAGCAAGAGCGAGACCCCATCTCTACTAAAAAAATAGAAGAAATTAGCTGGACAATTAAAAATATATAGAAAAATTAGCTGGGCATGGTGGCGCATGCCTGTAGTCCCAGCTACTCGGGAGGCTGAGGCAGGAGGATCGCTTGAGCCCAGG